TGGATGGAGGATGGGTAGATGGATGGGTGGGTGGATGGAGGATGGGTGGGTGGGTGGAGGATGGGTGGATGGATGGGTGGTAGAATATATGCAAATGAAGGCGTGTGTAGATTGCTGAGCCTCCATCGGTGGTCTATACCCTGAGGCTGAGGTGCAGATCATCAGGTCTGACTACAGTGGACAATCTCCGAGAAGCCCTCCCTTCATCCCAATGTTACAGCGAGGCCATCTCCATTGGGCCCTCCCCACCTCCACCCAGGTTCCCTCCGGTGTCTTACTGGACCTAATAGTCTCCTCCACTGTGAGGGAACCACAGGGTTCCTGGTCCCTGCTTTGTGCCCAAACTTGGCTCTGCACCTTAGAGGTGCTCAAGTTGCGTTTCTCAGATGGATGACATCCTCTGGTTTTCTCAGATGGAGGGCATCCTCTGGTTTAAGATTCGCTTTCTCCCCATGCAAGGCACAGGAGAGAGCAAGGCTGGCTTTCTCAGCCCAGAGTAGACAATAGCTGTGGCTTCCACAAACTTCCGAGGAGAGACCCAGGCTGGGTCCACTCACCTTGGATCCTTGGATCGGTGAGGACTGGAGGGTCCCCATGGGCACCTGGGTCCTGGAGCCAGCCTGCTTTCTGGTTCTCAGCCTCCCCTTGGAGCTCATCACCAAGCGTGGCTAGCTGTTCCCTGTGAGGGCCCGGAGCTGCCACTTCTGGGGAGACCCCCTCTTACCTGAGGTCCACCGCCTTCAGGGGCGAGGTCACTGTCACTGCGAGGGTCCTGCTTTCTGCTCCCCGGCTGGGAGAAGAGAGCCTTGAACTTTTCTAGAGAAAGTAGAATGTTCGGTGGCTACAAAATGGCAGGGGAGGAAGGGCGAGCTCCATCCTCAGCCTCCCTCTGCCTCTTCCACTGCTGGCTGCTCCTGTGCTTCCTGCGCTTTCTCTTCGGGAAGTTTTACTGGAGGAGAGAGCCCGCTGGGCCACTGTTTGTGGAGTGTGTGTTTGTCCCTAGAGCTGAGCCACAGCTCCCTGGAGGCAGGCCAGCAGCGGTTGCCATGGAGACCCACCTAAGCCTCTTGGCCTGCAGCAGTATTAGCTGACTAGGGAGGGCTGACCTCACACACATGCCAAGAAGACCGGGCCTGGTGAAAGCACAGTTCCCGGAAGGCATCTGAGTCCCTCCTGTCCCAGAATCACCTGGTTTGCTGCGCACCTGCCCACGGCAGATCTTGCCAGCTGTCTGGTGCATGGGGCCTGAATGCAAGTGCATTATTCTGGGCCCCAGGGGCCCATGAAGACTGACCCCTGCATTACTTCCCCTGCCTGCTGCCCTCTCTGTCTTTCCTTCCCTCACACTGAGACAGGCACACAATAGGTGCAGGTCCGGGGAGACAGAGAAAGCGGGTCCTGGGAGCTCTGAGGTCAGGGGCTGGCACAGGCTTGCTGCTGTGGCCTTCCCTCTCCCACTGCCTTTCTGCTCTCTGGCCACATGCAGGCTGCTCTGGTAGCATGTGTCCTGCTCGTGCCTGGCAGATGTGAGGAGACGCTGGGAAAGTTCTCTGCTTGTGAAGCAAGCGGCAGAGAACTAAACAGCCGCACTGTGCCGCCCCTGGGGGATGCTGGTCCAGCCCCAGGAAGGGGCAGCTTCGGACGCACCTCGGTCAGCTGTGTGGAGAGAGAGCAGGAAGCCCAGCCAACAGAAATTTAAGCCAGGCCTGGCTCCTCAGACTGGAATTGCCTGCCCGCCTGCATTCTTGAGGTTTTGGTGGGGCACGGGGTTCACAGTGTGGGCTCTTCTACCTTCCTTCGTCAGCAGACGCAGCAGGCCCTCCCGTCAGGAGCTGGGTCTCAGGGTCAAACACTTCTCTTGGCAAACAGTCGTGCCAGGTGAAAGGATGGTTAGGGACCTCCTTGTCAGTTCCCAGGTGGCCTCCGTCCAGGGCCAGCTAAGGCCAGAGCCACCTGAGGACAAGAGTGACCAGTGGCTAGCACCCTTCCCGTGGGTCAGAGTGAGTGCCTTGCCATGGGCCGGCGCAGGGCTGGAGACAGTTCTTACTGGGAGCCTTTCCCTGTCCTTCCCCTGACTAGAGGGCAGCCAGAACTCCCACCCCAGAAACACCAGGTGTCTGCCCTCCCAGCCCTTCTGCACCCCCTTAACAGAAGTTCTGTTCATGTGCTTTACACGAGCCCCAGAGCCCTGGCCCGGGGTGAAGACAGAGAGGGCAAGCCCCGGCTAGGCCCTCCAGCTTGGGCTGATGGGTGGGCAGGGACCTGGAGAATCCAGGGACACCTTGGAGAGGGCCCACCGGTTGCCCCCACCTCCCCTCAGCCCCCCATTTCCTTGTCCCTGCCGCAGTCTTGAGAATCCCCACTCACAGGCAGCAGAGGTCTTCCTTCCCGTACCCGATGATGTGGTGGTGGCAGAAGGCACTACGCTTCCCCAAACAGCACTGCAAGTCAAATCAGGACACTGCACTCTGCTCTCCCAAACTGCGAACTTGCTCCTGCCCTCTGAGGGACGGGAGCAGGCTGTGTCAGCGTCTGGGCAGTGTGGGATTCTCTGTTACATTTCCTTCCCAAAGGCTGTGTGTGGTCCACACAGTCCTCAGAATACTGGAAGATGAGGGTAGCACAGGCCTCTAATCCAAGCAGAGGCAGAGGCAGAGGCAGAGGCAGAGGCAGGCAGATCTCTGTGAGTTTGAGGCCAGCCTGGTCTACTAAGAGTCCAGGACAGTCAGGGCTAAACAGAGAAACCCTGTCTTGGAAAACATCATCATCGTTGTCGTCATCATCATCATAGAAGCTTGCTGGACTGAATGAGGACAACGTCAGGACCATGAGGGGGTTGGACCTGTCTCTTGGGGCTAAGGGTCACGTGGCAATGTGTGGGAGTTCACAAACTTGCCCTGTGTAAAAGCTCCTGGCTGCTGGAACCTTCCAGGCGGCGGCAGAGTCTCCAAAGCTGTGTTTAAACCCTGCGCTTGGAAGAGCAGAGCTGTGCAAGCACCCGCTTCTCCTCACCCAGCACCCGCAGGAGAAGCGGAGGGCTGCGGCCTGGCAGCCAGGCTCCAGCGGGGCTGGGAATAAAAATCCACTCAACAGTTTAGAGCTGTGATCTGTTACCACAGGCCAGCTGTCCAGCGAGGGAGGCTTCAAAACTGCACACTTGAAGGGTGCTTGCAGAGCTTTCAACAACTTCACAGTTGGGGTCACAACCATATGAGTAAGTGTGTCAAAGGGTCCTGGCGCCAGGAAGACCGAGGCCACTGATGTGGTTGATGACAAGCTTGCTCTTTCTTGGGAAACACCTCTCAGCCTGTGGTGACAAATTATTTAGTCCCAAAAAAGGGACAAAAAAGTTTGGACAAGACAAAAAAATTGCACAAAACCAGAATGAAGGAACTTGGCCTTCCTGCCTTATACATCACCAAAGCAGCATGAGTGGGGGGGATCCAAACCCCCAATTCCTCAGAGCAGGCGGTGCACCCTCACATTCCCGACTCTGCATAAAATCTGCATACGTTTGCATACATTTTACCGACCAGGCAGCGATTCTCAAGCACTAGGAGTGTGGGTGGAGCTGCATAGCCCCAGCTGTGAAAAACAAACTTTTGGAGCTGTATTCCCTGTCCTCCGGTGGTTTCCCCGCAGAGTCCAAGCTCCTCTGTTCCTCCCCAGTGTCTCGGAGGCATTTGCCGAAGTTCCTCTCTGAGAATTGCTCCTAACACAGGTCTGTGAATAATGAAGGTGAGGGGGTCCTCTTCAAGGGCCCACCTCTCAGGGCCCAGATGTGGATGTGTGTGTGTGTGTGTGTGTGTGTGTGTGTGTGTGTGTGTGTGTGCGCCCGCGCTGGGCGAGCTTGTGAGGATTCTCTGAAGGGATTCCTCTGCATCTCAGTCTGTCAGACTGTTGGAACAAGGGACCCAAGAGCATATAGACAGTCTGTTGGAAAGATTTCCCAGCATTCTAACGCTCTGTCAGTCTAGCTCACAGGGTGGCACTGAAGCTCAGACAACGATGGGTCAGCGGAGGGCGCGGCCACACGTTGCCTGGGACTGCTTGGATGTTACGTCTCGTCCTCTGTTTAAACTTTGGTCTGTAGGACCCTGAAGACCAACCTGATCCATTTGTCCCTCTTCCCGATGTGGCCACACTGAATACATCTCCTCCTCTGCCTCCCACCTGTAATCTGGCTTACTGAGAAAAAGTGTCAGGGCCTGACGTGGGGTGCAGTTGTGACCTACCCCAGGTTTGATAGCTTTCCGGAGCCTGAGCCTGTGGTAGGACCCCTTCCTGCGTCTTGTGAGAAAGGGGCGTGTCCTTGCCGTGCACTGCTGTCTCTCACCCTCCTGCATCCTGGTCCTGAGCCTTGATGCCCACAGAGTCAACCAGACCTGGAGTCTGAGGAAGCCCCATGGTCCCAGCAGTCCTGGTTTGTGCAGGGAAAGCCCAGGCTGGCCACAGCGCCTGTCAGCCTGGCTGGGGGCAGGCTGGCCATGACAGGCTCAGAATTCCCTGCTGACAGTGCTCCTACCTGTTTGTGCTTGGCTGGCGCCGAGGAGGCGTGCCCGGGTGCTCAGAGCTGCACAGTCAAGGCTGCCTGGCTGTGCTCCTCCTGGACACCCCCCCCAGAGTCCCCAGAGCTGGTAAACAGGCAACAAGAGTCAGCTGCCTGTTCCTTGGCCTCTGTTGGCTCTGACTCGGAGTCCCTCTGCTGCTGAGAGCGTAGTTGAGGATTGACCCTCCCTCCATCTCTCCCACAGCCCCTTGCACGCCCCTCTCCTCTCCCCGGGACTCCAGCTCTGGTCTAAGCCTCTTCTCCAGCAGACATTCACCTCTGAAGCAAGTCTTGGAGCTTTTGAGTCACACAGCCTCTGCGTCTAGATCAGGGCTCTCGGCCTTCCTAACACCACGACCCTTTAGTATGGTTCCTTGTGTTGTCATGACCCCCAACCATAACATTTTTGTTGCAGCTTCGTGACTAATTTCCTACTGTTGTGAATCATTGTAAACACCTGACAGGCAGGATATCTGACATGTGACCCCCTTTGGGGTCACTGCCCTTAGGCCTCTGGCCTAGGGTCTCTCTAATAACACTGGCCATGGGGCCATGTTTGTGCAAGAGCACAGGCAGAGTCACTAAACCGACCCCACAGCAGTGGGACTTGCAGAGACTGCCTCAGGGGACGCTAATTCGTGCTTGATTTACGCAGCTCATGCAAAGCCTATGCGGTGGCTGCGACTGCCATCTCCGTGTAACACATGGAGAACACAGCCATGAGTCATACAACCAGCCCCGGCTCACAAGTAACACGGATCCAAACGTGACTGAAGCAGCCTGGTGCCACAGTTCGCCCCGGGGCCGGCTACCAGGTTCTACACTGAGGTCCCCTCTTTCGATTGATCAAAACCCAATGATCCTGTCAGCTAACGCCTACAGCTGACACCACAGCGCAGGGCACAGGTGTGTAAGAACGGCAGGCCACACTCCAGACGCAGAGTGAACGCTGCCTTGGGGAACAGAGAGTGAGAGCGGCTGGGGGGCGGGGCACAGGCTCTTCTACCTCAGGTGCTTTTGGTTTTCTGGGTTGTTCTTGGATGCCAGGAGCCAAAGCTATCTACGGAAGCCAAAGTCAAAGCTATCTAGTGTAGACAAAGGTATCTATGGAAGCCAAAGTCAATTAGTGAGCCAAAGCTATCTAGTGGAGACAAAGGTTTTACTGAAGCCAAAGCCAAGTAGAGAGCAAAGGTCATTTAGTGGAGACCTAAAGCTATGTAGTGAAAGAGTTATCTAAGACACTAACTCATGGGTGAGAGACTGTGAGGACATCCTTTGTTAGAGCATCCGTAAGGTATCTTTAGAAACCATCCTTATGGTATCTCGCAGGTACAATAGTTAACCCATGAAGGCACTCTTCCTATTTCCTGCAGCAGTAGATTAACCTTCCCCCTTTCCTGCCTTCTCCCTATATAAGT